CTTCCTGAGCAGGTGACCTGACGCTGCCTCTTCAAGGGGCCTTTGCCTGGCATGTTCTGTTCAGCACCGAGGACAGCTCTAGACGCCACCTTCCTGGACCCCCCCCCCCCACCGTCGGGTGTGCGGAGATGGCACCTCCCCACCCAACATGCCAGACATGCCCAGTGGAGACCCTCAGCATGTGTGCTATGCCTAGCAGGAGGAGGCAGCCCTCAGACCAGAATGGGGTCAGAGGAGGCCTTGTCAGGAGGGTGAGTCACCCCTTACTGTGTGAAGGGCCCTGTGCCAGCTGCCTTAATCTGGGCTTTCTTGTGAGGTCTTTCAGCACCTTAGCTGATCTGAAACTGAGGGGCAAAGAGGGAACAGAAGCTGCCTGGGCACTTAGAGAGAAATGCAGAAGCTGAAATCAAATGTAGAACAGAAAACCTGGGACTCAGCTAATTCCATGGGTTGAGGAACTGGGCATTGGGGCAATGGAGAGGGGTGGGAGAGCCAGTGAGGAGCCATGGAGGACTAGGTCCCAATCCTCTCTGCCACCAACCGGTGTGTGACTTCGGGCAGGTCATGTTGACTCGCTGCACCTGTTTCTCCTTGACTCACCTGGGAGGGACAGTTAAGGGTACAGGCTCAGAAGGTAGCCTGCCTGATCTGAATCCCACCTCTGCAACCCCCTTGCTGCAAGTTACTTATCCTCTCTGTACCTAGCTACAAAATTGGAAGTAATGAAAAACTTTCTCACAGTGTTTTGAAGATTTTGTTCCTGTCTGGTCCTCCCATATCCCAGCCTGCCTTCGTCATAAAGGTGCCCACCCTATGCTGTCATCACACACCTTTCCACACCAAAGGGAATGGGGCACAGCTCAATTCATAGGATATATCCAGTGAGGGTGGACTCTCTTATCTAAAGAGTTTAACTGGCCTACAGACCCAGTAGCTGGGCTAACAAAGCTACACTACAAAAGTGAAAGCTCACCCCTAGGGGAACAGGGAAGCTGATCCTAGACTGGCTTTTCCCGCTGCTAGAGATGTGGAGGGCATATCTCCCCCTGATAAGCCTGAGCTTTATCAGCTCCACCTGCCTTGAGAGTGTTGTATCAGTTACTAGGGTTTTAGGGGCTTTCCTGCTGCAGAGACTAAAAACAAGGGTGAGGTGCACAGGCAAGGGTGATTTGGGAGGGCACTTAAAAACCTCTATGTGCAGGAGGGGTTCCTCACTGCATTTTAAACAGGGAAGTATATAGTTCCCCAGAGAACAAAACAGTCTAGGCTGACTCATTTTGAAGACTGGAGTTCCCTCCAAGAAAGGTATTGGGGAAGGAAGTGGAGGTCTCAGTAAACTCCTGAGTGCCAGGCACTCAGAGGCCACTGCATACCTGTGATTTGCATTAATCACCCCCAAATCCCTACCAGGGAGGTGCTATTCTTCTCCCTACTCTACAGACTGGAAACCCTCAGGTCTGCTCTGTTCTCCTCAGGTCCCCAGGAGCAGAGCCCAGAGCCCATAGACTGGAGGCTGAGCATCACCGCCCTGGGTGCAGGCCTCCCTCACCTGCAGGGCCACTGGAGAAGCCCACTGTGGGAGAGACCCTGGAGTCCGGGCCCAGGACAGTCAGCAGGAGATACCTGAGCTCCCTGAAGAACAAGCTGTCCAGTGGGGCCTGGAGGAAATCTTGCCAGCCTGGGACCTGCCCCGGCCCAGGGATGCAGGTGCCTAAAGGCTGGGGTAGAAGTGGGGAGCTGGGGGCCCCTCCGCTCACGTTCCCACACATTCCCTCCCAGCCACTTCCTCAAGTGTGACCAGAGATCAGCTGAAAGCTAAATTCACCCCTCCCCACCCCGTTAATGGGCTTTGGTTAGATACCTACTATGCACCCTATTGCTGGCATTATTTCTCATACCCCTCACTGTACGAGTCTTTTAGGTAAGGAAATTGAAACTCAGACAGCTTAAGGAATTTGTCCAAGGCTACACAGCTTGGAACCTGGTACCTTTCCTAGGTGTGGCCTCAGTTTACCTACCTGAGGAGGAAATGATCCCAACTAAAAATATTGGTTGGTGCTAATTCCTGCCCTTAGACTGATCCAGGGCAGGTTACCTCCCTTCCCTGGGTTTCAGTTTTCTTGTCTGTGGAGTCTAAGGGCTAGGCCACATGATGCTGTGCACCCTGGAGCCAAACTGCCAGGGTTCATGTCCCAGCTCTTCTGTTAACTGTGTGACTTTGGGCGAGTCCCTTTTACCCCTTTATGTCTGTTTCCTGATTTATAACATGGGGGTGGTGATCATAGTAGTACCTAATGTGTATACTGGTGATCAACTGCTACATAACAAAGTACCCCAAAATGTAGTGGCCAAATACAATTTACTATTCCTGACAGTTTCATGGGTTGACTGGAATGCTATTAGATGATTTTTCTATTGTCTCACTTGGGGTTTGCCTTAGTCAGCTCGGGCTGCCATGACAAAATACCATAGACTGAGTAACTTAAACAACAGAAATACAGTTTCTCACAGCTCTGGAGACTGGCTGTCCAAGAACAAGGTGCTGGCAGGGTTGGTTTCTGGTGAGCCTCCCTGCCTGTCTTGTAGATAGCCATCTTCTCACTGTGTCCTCACAGGACCTTTTCTCTGTACTCATGTTCTCCTGGTAGCCCTCTCTTCTTATAAGGACACCAGTCTTAATGGATTAGGGCCCCACCCTTATACCTCAGTTAACTTAATTACTAAAGGCCTTATCTCCAAGTAGAATCACATTGAAGGTTAGGGCTTCAACAGATTAATTTGGGGACATAATTCAGTCCATAACAGGGTCAGTCAGATGTTGCCTAAGATGGGAATGCCCAAGATAGCTCATCTCTCAAGCCTGGTGCCTGGGCAGGGACAGCCAAAAAGCTGGGCTGAGCTGGGACGCTGGCACAGCTGTGCCCCTCTCTCTCCGTGTAGTCCCAAGGCCTCTCCTCTCCATGTGGCCTCTCATCACGGCAGCTAACTTCTGGGTGTGGTAGTTAATGCTCCCAAGAGAGCACAAGCAGAAGCTTCCAGGCCTCCTAAGGCTTTGGTCTGGAACTGGCACAGCCTCACTCTGCTCCATTCTCTCTCAGCTAGTCACAGCGCCAGCCCAGATGCACTGCAGGAGGGTGTGAATCCTGGGTGGTGTGTTTCACTGGGGCATTTTTGGAGACTGCTCCCATCAGAGGAGACCAAAGCTCTCCTTCTCCTTCTCCCCTCAACTCCCCTGCAGGAGCCTGAGGAGAAGAGGATCGTCCAGGAGCTGCTGGAGACAGAGCAGGCCTATGTGGCACGCCTCCACCTGCTAGACCAGGCTAGTGGCCAGGATGCCCCCTCCTTTGTCCCAGCACCTGGATCTCCTCACTCCACCCCTGCTCTCCCTTCTGACCCAGCTCACAGGAACTGAGAGTTAGGACCTGGGGTTTGACTCTAGGAAGCCTTAGTACTTTAACCCAGTGGCTGGAGTTGGGGCAGAAATCGGGATTTAGCTCATTAGCACCACTCCTGATTCCACCCTTGGTGCCTGGGCTAGCCGCCCAGGTAGCAGAATACATACACAGCATCCTCATCTATCATCCCAGCGCCTGACATCCTCACCATTATTAGCCCTTCACACTTTCTCAAGGAGCCCCAAGATAAGAGGGCTAAATCACTGAACATCAGCAGTGGGTTCCTGAGTCTGGAGAAGTCTAAGACCTTGACAGACACAAGATGGGCCCATTTCTGACATTCATCAGCCTGCCAGCCTTTGGCCAAGTCCCCGCACCTCTAGGCTTTAGTTTGCCCATCTGTAAAGTGGACAGAATACAGTCTTCCCTGCCTATCTCTTCTTGAGGTTGTTGCAAGGGTGATGGGAGATTAAGGAAGTAGAAGCATTCAGCAATCTGGGGAGGGACCCCAAAGACCCCTGGAACTGTGCTCGTCTCCCCCGGGCAGGTGTTTGGGGGGTTCCCTCTCTGCCACAGGCACAGTGACCCATCGGTGGCTGCAGGTGTTCTTCCAGGAGCTGCTGAAGGAGGCCCGTAGCAGCAAGGCCTTCCCTGAGGATGTGGTCAGACTCATTTTCTCCAACATCTCCTCCATCTACCAGTTCCATGCACAGTTCTTCCTCCCAGAGCTGCAGCAGCGGCTGGATGACTGGTGAGATCTGGCAGCGTGACCTGGCTAGGTCAGGGTGCAGCCCCAGTGGCACTGGGTTTGGTCTGTTAGGCCTCTCCTCTTGCTGCTATGTGGCCACAGCAGTCTCATTCTTCCTCTGTGCTTGGTCTGTCTGCACAGTGAGGGGCTTGGATGATTGAGCCATGGCAGGCCGTGTGTGTGTGTGTGTGTGTGTGTGTGTGTGTTTCATCCATCCTGGGAAGGGGATGGATCAGGTCCTCACTAGGCTGAGTAACTTATGGGGCAGTGCAAATAGCCAGTGCTAACAGGGCTTCCTACATGCCCTGCCTTGGGATTTACACCTATTAACTCACTTCATCTTCAGATCAGCCCACTGTGTGATGGTGGCCTCGTGGTTATGAAAGAAACCCTCTCTATTTTCAGAGATGAGCACTAAAGTAGTTAGTAGTGAAATTAGTATCTTGCCAAAGAAATGCCATTAGGTCTGGAATGTCCCTTAAAATTCTTCAGCAAAGAATGCTAGTAGTTGTTAAATCCAGTGATAGATATATAGGGATTCATTATTATGTGTTTACTTTGCGATTGCTTAGAATTTGGGGGGAATAAAAATTAAAAAAAAAAAAGACAACCCTGTGAGGTTGCCTACCCTCATGCACATTTTTTCAGATAGGAAAATTGAAGAACAGAGAGGCTAGGTGATTGGCCCAAGAACACACAGCAAGAGTGGTGCAACTGGGAATCAAACTCAGGCAGGCCAATTCCAGATTGTGGATCCTTACCACTCTTCTGTAACAGTCCCTGGGTTAAATGACCCTTCCTTACCCCTCTGAGCCTGGATTGCCTCCTCTCTCAGATGGGCCAGTGACTGTCCCTCCATCGCCATGCAGGGTTTTGAGAATGCAATGAGATGAGATATGCAGCATGTCCTGGGTAATGCTTGGCATGTGGCCCTTGTTATTGCTGCATGAACAAGCGCCAGGTGGTCATTGAACACCGGTTGTGGGCCCAACACTATGCTGGGCCTTTGGGGGAATCCAGTCCGTGGGAGAAAGCAGCACCTTCCCTCAGGGGGCTCACAGTCTAAGGGGGGTGAACCATACATGTGTGTGAGAATGACATGCCCCCCATACCTGCTCCCAGAAGTGCTGCAGAAAGGCTGTTTTGCAGGGGTTCAGGGGAGCTAGACTAACCTGACCCTGCCTGGAGTCAAGAGAAGAGGACCCCAGGCTGAAGGCAATACCTGGGCCCCTCCTGCAGGACGACCACCCCCCGCATTGGCGATGTGATCCAGAAGCTGGCCCCCTTCCTGAAAATGTACAGTGAGTATGTCAAGAACTTCGAGCGAGCCATTGAGCTGCTGGCCACCTGGACTGACAAGTCTCTACCCTTCCAGGAGGTTCTCACCCGCATTCAGGTGAGGTCAGGGCGGGGATGGGGTGGAGCCTGCACTGTCACCCCTAGCCTGCAGTGGCTCCATTTCCCTGGGCAATTTTGGGCACCTCCCCAGCACAGCTGCTTCCTCAGGCCTTAGCACCTGCCTTGCCCATTCCCCTGACCCTCAGGGGCAGCCTGACCTACCCCTCCCCTCTTCTCATCCCTACACTCTCCTTTCCCTCTCCCTCCCCAAGAATAGCGAGGCCTCAGGCAGCCTGACCTTGCAGCACCACATGCTGGAACCTGTGCAGAGAATCCCACGCTATGAGCTTCTGCTCAAGGAATACGTCCAGAAGCTGCCAGCCCAGGCCCCAGACCTGGCCGATGCACAGAGTGAGGACACCCCTGGGGAACCCAAGGGGCTGGGGAGGCCCAAGCCACTCTTATAATCTATGGAACACTGCAAAAATGGTTATGATGACCATCAGCCATCAACACTGATCATTGGTGTTTCATAGACATGTCTATAGCATTAGCCATTTTTTAAACAGACACTAAGTCCCAGAGAGGTTAAGTGACTTGCTCAAGGTCACACAGCCAGAAAGGAGTAGAGTTGGGATTTAAAGCCATGCCTGCACCCTCTGGATCTGGGGAGAAATCAAAGTCACAGAAGCCAACCACCTAAGCCCTGTCTTTCAGTGGCTTCTAGTCTCTCTGCTCTAGGTAGGAAATGGCCTCCATCATCCAGATACCCCATGTGCCAGGCTACAAGGGCAGGGCTGCTCCTGAGGGTGCTCACAGCAGGCCCTGAGGCCACTTGGTTAACCCTCAAAGACCTCCTGCCTCAGCCACCAGTCCCTCATTTTCAGGGGTAACTCTGGCCCCACCTTCATTTCAGAAGCACTCGACATGATCTTCTCAGCTGCTCAGCATTCCAACACAGCCATCACTGAGATGGTGAGCATCCCAGCCTTTGGGGTAGGAGCAGCAGGCATCCCCAGGAGGCCTGTCACCTCCTCCCTGCAGCTCTCAGCCTCCCCCAGCCCATAAAGGTCTGTGTATCCACTCATCTCCTGATCCTGACATATGACACCTGGCCCACTGCTGCCCTCCTCACACACTGTCCCTGTCCACTCAAAGCAAACCTTCCAGAAGCAGGTAGGCCCTGCCTGACGTTGGCTGAGGGTGCACCTCCTGTCCACAGGAGCGGCTGCAGGAACTATGGGAGGTGTACCAGCGCCTGGGCCTGGAGGACGACATAGTAGACCCCTCCAACACCCTGCTCCGAGAGGGCCCTGTCCTCAAGATCTCCTTCCGTCGCAGCGGCCCCATGGAGCGCTACCTTTTCTTGGTAGGAAGAAACTGGGGGCCTGCCCCACACTGGGGAGGGAAGTCCATGGGCCACTCTGCCCCAGGTCCTGCCTGCCTGGCATCTGCCTGGCACTGTAGGTTGAACAGAGAAGAGCCTGCTTCTCTGTCCTTCTGTGCTTTGGCACTTGGGTGATTTGGGACTGGTCACATGCTGCCTCCAGGCCTCAGGGATTTCCAACTGAGGGGGTCCCAGACTTGCCCTAGAAAGCAACAGAGTCCGAATTTGAACCCAGTCTCTTTGGCTCCAAAGCCTGTGGTATTAATCTGTGCTCTAGAGAGTGCAAAGCAGGAGGGAATTAGGTTGGCTACTAGGAAGAGCTGCCCAGGTTTGCACTGAAGAAGCAAGGATTGCTAGGGTCTCCTGGAGATCTGGAAACTGGTTCTGCCTGGATTTTGGGGAGGGAGCTATAACTTCTTGTCAACCCTTGCCACCCTCAGCCTCTATGAGAAAGGCCTAATAGGTTTCTGAGGTCTGCTGTGGTCCCTTGATGCTCACAGGTAGGGCATCGTTCAGTGACTATCTTAGGTGGGTTGGGGGCTAGAAAACCCCTTCCTCATCACAGTTGTGATGTCCCAAGAACTGGCCCAGAGTGTGGCGAGGGGGAGGGAGATCCGGGGGCTCAGCCTACTGTCTGGGAAGCTCCGCCTGACTGTCCTTCCTGCCCTGCCACTGCACACACACTCCTGCTTGTGTCTCCTGCAGTTCAACAACATGCTGCTGTACTGTGTGCCCAGGGTCATTCAGGTGGGCGCCCACTTCCAGGTCAGGACCCGCATTGACGTGGCCGGGATGAAGGTGAGAGGCGCCCCAACCACCCTCAGCACCCCACCACACCCAGGGTGGGATCAAGTATGGGGAGTAGCAGGAGGGGCCAGTCTGGGTCTCAGTCCAAGAACACACGTGTGGCAGGTCTGGGGCCAATGTGAAGGTGGAAGAACGTGGGGTTAGAGGTCTCCCAGCTGGGCTCCCAGCCTTCCCTGTCCAGGCCCTTCCCATCTCTCAGCCTCCATCTGCTTTCCCTGCCTTCTACACCAGTGCTTGGAAAACTGTAGTACATGCGTGAATCCCCTGGGAGTCTTATAAAAATGTAGGTTCTGATACAGTAGGTCTGGAGTGGGCCCTGAGATTTTGCTTTTCTAACCAGCTCCTGGGTGATGCTGATACTGCAGCTCCCCAGGCCACACTTTGAGTAGGAAGAATATACACTGTCAGCTCAGCGGGTGGCTTCGTTGTGTCCTCATCCAGAGATGGTCCCAAATGACTGAGGACAGCATTCACAACAGTGCCCATGGACTGGGTGGTCACTGTGGATTGGGCTCTGCATTACCCCATCAGATCCTCATAACAGCCCTGTGATGTAGGAGCTGTTACTAAACCCCTAGTTTTTTTTTTTTGGCTTTTAGCAGTCTTTTAAAAATAATCGTATAACCTAAAAAGTATAGATAATACACATTCCAAAATTAAACTATATCAAAAATAAATGCAATAAAAATTCTCCTCCCCACTCCATTCCCTAGATTCCCTTCCTATAGGCAGCCTTCACTTTTTGTGAGGCCTTCCAAAGGCAGTCTTTGTACACACAAACTAGCAATATATTCAGTATAGCTTCCTTACTTTTGTTTCACATAAACAGTGAGAGTATTTTTCATATGCACTATTCTGCACTTGACTTTTTAAACTAACTACTAATTCTGGAGACGGTTGCATGTCAGTATCTTAGTCATTTCCTCATCCTTTTGCATAGCTGCATAGTATCCTGGTGTGTAGATGTATCATAATTCGTTCAGTCAATCCTCTACTGATGGGCATTTCAATTGCTCTCAGTTGTCAGTGTCTGCAAATGAGAACTGCATTGAATAACTGTGTACAGTTTGCCTGTGTTTGGGTATATCTGTAATTAACCCCATTTTTAAAAAAATGGAAATAAAATGATACATCCAGACAATGGAATATTATTCAGTGATGAAAAGAAATGAACTGTTAAGCCATGAAAAGACATGGAGGAAACTTAAATGCATATTACTAAGTGAAAGGAGCCCATCTGAAAAGCATACATACATACATACATACATACTACGTGTATATACTGTATGATTCCAATGATACGACATTCTGAAAAAAACAATGGATACAGAGGATCAGTGGTTATGAGGGGTTGGTGGGGTGAAAAGGCAGACCGCAGAGGACTTTAAGTGCAGGGAAGCTATTTTGTATGGTACTAAAATGGTAGATACCAGTCATTATACATTTATCCAAACCCACAGAATGTACAACACCCAGAGTGAACCCTAATCTAAACTGTGAACCTTTGGTAATAATGATAAGTCAACGCAGGTTCATTGATTCTAACAAATGTACCACTCTGGTGGGGAAATGTTATTAATGGGGGAGGCTGTGCATGTGTGGGCACAGGGAAAATCTCTGCACCTTCCTCTCATTTTTGCTGTGAACCTAAAACTGATGTAAAAAAAGTCTTTCTTAAAAGTTAAAAAAAGCAAGGCTCCGAGAGGTTAAGTAGCTTGCTTGGGGGTCACACAGCAAATCCTGGTTTGCATGATCAAACTCAGGTATAACAGAGTCCAGAGCCTCTATACCTAATCCCCATACTAAACTGTCTCCTACTAATTCTTCAACCCAGAGGGGTAAAGCATAGAGCAGAATTACAAGCACGGTGGAGGAAATAGTAGGGGAACCTTCTTGACCATCTCCCTCTGATGGCTCCTGAATCCCAGTGTCTGGGGCTGGAACAAGCAGAGGTCAGATCTGGACTATCTTGGTGCCTTTCCATCTCCCCCTTCCCTATCCCTATTGCCTCCACCTCCACCTCTCCCTACCCACCTCCCAGGATCTGCCCCAGGAGGGAGCTTCAGGCAGGACTTGAGCCAGGACAATCCCTCCCTGGGCCTCTGAGAGCCCCCAGCAGGTGGGCCTTACCCCTACTCCTGACTGGACTTGCCTGGTACTTGGGGCTGAATCAAGGACCTGGGGATGGGGTACAGCCTGAGGGTGATAAGGGCCGATGGAGGCACATGGGCACTTTCTGGGGGTTCACAGCCCATCCCCCGTACCTCAGCTGACTGAGTTCTTTTAGGAATTCAGCCCCACACACTGCGGCACCCAGCTTTTCTTCCTGAAGTGTCCAGAATGTTCCAGAGGCAAGGATGTATGCAGTTTGTATGTCTGGGAACCTTGGTGAGAGAGACTAAGAAATTCAGGTTATAGAGTTACAAACAGAGAAATGGAGACAGGCAGCCCTGTCTTAGGACTGGCAGAGACCCAGGCATAAAAAAAGAAAGGCAGAGATTGACAGAAAAGCCAAGAAATATAGAGACCAAATCAGAGCCAGAAAGAGAAAGTATGCAGAGACGGGCCTGAGAGTGTCAGATGCTTAGGGTGTGTGTCGAGGGCTCAGGAGCCCAGTGTGCCAGGTTCCTGGCGTCTGCCAGTCCCAGTGAACTCAGTCCCTGCAGGGTGTGTCTGGTGCTCCAGTGGCCACACAGCACCCTCTCTTGGATGGCACAGGCCTGCCTGGTGCAGAGCTGTCCACCCTCCCGTGTTTGTGCAGGAACTATTTTCTGAGTTTGAGGTTTGGGGGTAGATCTGTCCTTTAACCACCATAATGGTTCCCGCTGGCCCATGACTCCCAGCCTCCTCCTTCCTGAATGTCAGAGAGGCCTAGTCCTCAGCTGCTGATTCTCTCCCAAGATCTGGCTGGGTCCTGTCGTTGTGCCTGCACAGGGCCAACCAGGGAAGAAGGAAGGGGTGTGGGCACATACACACCCAGCATCTCCTTGGACAACTGTGTGGGTTGTGCACTGCACGAGCATGCCTCATCCCCAGCAGACAGCATAGATTGTATATTTACAGTTCTCGTCCGGCAGGTGGCAGTCAAGCATCTAGTTCAACAAAAGCTGAATATTATGCCAGTTTGCCAACAGATGTCAGTAAAGTGTTAAAGAAGGGGTGTCTTTTTCTAATTAGCACAAAGGCACTGTATGGGCTAGCAGGGGCCTGAACCGGCCCAGACCTAGGGAGTCTGGTGGTTGAGCCTGGGTACAGCAGACCTCAGGGAACTGTCCTCTAGAAATCTTCATCCTGCCCCCTTGCAGAGGTGGTCCTGGACCCTCAGGTCAGGGGCTCCCCCCAGTTCCCTTTTTTCTGTTAAAAGAATCATATGTCTTCCTAGCTGTGGACTCCAAACCTTAGATTTCTCCCTTCTTTTCCTTCTCCCCTCTCCCTCACCCAATCAGTCCTGGAGTCTTGCCAGATTTCCTGATATTGTCCCCTAGGTAAGAACCTCTTCTCTCTCCAGGTGCAGGCAGGCCCTGGGCAGGCCTGGACCATTCAGGGTATCACTTCCTGGCTGCTGGTTTTTCCCACTTCCCCCAGACTCAGCCCTTCTACCCTTACATACAGCTGCTGGAGTGACTTTCCAAACACCTCTCTCCACATGAGCTTCTCCAAATACAAACCCTCAGAGCCTCCCCCTTGTCAAGGATATCGAGTACAAAGCACATCAGGCCCCTTCTAAAAGGAATGGACTGGTTCTGTGGGCCCAAAGTGTAGACTAGCCCTAATACAAGCATGTGCCCAGTCATTCTTTATGGGGTGTCTGAAAATGTGCCAAGGCCTGGTCACCACGGGGCAGAGAACAGCAGAAGGGCCCAAGTGTCAGGTAGATTCAGTGACAAGTTCCCCCATGCCAGGTCCTTGAGCTCTAGGTCTGTGTCTTAGCTTCTCTTTGTGACTTTCTCTTCACACTGCCTGGGAGAGGTCTATGCTTACTGGACTCTGGCAGCAGGGTGGAAATAGATGGACTTCCACCTTACCCTTGGGGACCAAAAACCTGAGTTTGAATCCTCATTCTGCTGTTTAGGTGCTGTGTGACCTATGCAGGTCCCTTGCCCTCTCTGATCTCCATTTTCTCATCTCCTAGATAAGGATGCCTCCCAAGATTGCTGTGAAGATTTTCTTTAACTTTTTATTATGGACTCTTTCAAGCCAAAAAAAAAAAAATGAACTCTCATATACTCATCACCTGACTGCAACAATTAACTCAAAATTGGTCTTGTTTCCTTAGCATTCCCCTTCTTAATCCCCTTTTCCAATGGGTTATATAAGAGCAAATTCCAGACACATGATCATTTCACCTATAAATACTTTAAGAGATAAGAACTCTCTTTTTGCTCAAAAAGATGCTAACAGTTCCATTATTGCATCTAACAAATTAATAATAATTATTTAATAACATTAAGAGCCTTTGGTTTTCCTTGACTGTCTCATAATTGTCTTCTCACAGCTGATGTTTGAATCATTTGTGATATGCTTCTTATATCCCTTTTTATCAACACTTTCCTCTCCTTTTTTTCTTAACTATTTATTTATTTTAATTGAAGTATGGTCAGTTACAATGTGTCAATTTCTGATGTCTCATTTATTAGTTGCAGAAATCAGATCATTTCTCTGGTTGAGTTTCTCAGAGTCTGGACTTTGCTGACCACACCACTGTTGTCAGCATGTCCCACTTTCCCCTATACTTTTTGTCAACTGGTAGATAACCTAGAGACCTGACCAGATGTAGCTGTCCCAGGGGACTGTAGCTGGTGACAGGCACTGCCCTCAGGGGCACATCATGGCCATTAAGCATTAGAATTAGTGATCAGTGGGGTCCCCAGTTGTGCGGATTAAGTGAGAACATGTGTGGAATGCTCAACGGCAGACAAAACAGTAGAAGCTGTGTGACTGGCGGCTTCCAAAACAGCCTCAGGTCGTGTGGATTTACGGGACAAGACGGTGAAAGGCAGGAAGTGGGGGCTCTGTTGGATCTACGAATTGGGTGATTGATTCCTTCATTCACTGTATGGGGAAGGTCTTATTCCAGGCCCTACATCTACTCTTGAAAAAGCTGTATTCCCCAAATCCAATTTATAACCCAGTTTTCATCTTTGGTGATTCCTTTGTAAGGACACATCATCCCTACTTTCCACTGGACCAACTTGCTGCTGCTAAACTTCCAAGAGCCCTAAGTCCCACTTGCTCTATAGAACGAGGCTAGGATGCAGGTGTATTTACTTGGCCTGACAGGATTAGGAGGCGCTGAAAAAGCTCCCTTTCCCTGTTTCTCAAATTTGAATGGTTCCTGGGTCACACTCCACTTCCCTCACTGACAGTGCCTACGGGGTGGGCGGGTGGGGTATGGCAAGTCTGAGCGTCTGTTCCTCCCATTCCCGAGCAGGTGCGGGAGCTGACTGATGCCGAGTTCCCCCACTCCTTCCTGGTGTCCGGGAAGCAGCGCACCCTGGAGCTGCAGGCCCGGTAGGCAGGCGTGGGCTGGGGGCCGGGCGGGGCAGGAAAACAGGGAGGCGCTGCCCGGCTAACACTTGTGTTCACTTCCCGAGCAGGTCCCAGGAGGAAATGATCTCCTGGATGCAGGTAACAAAACGCTCCAGGGCCCCTATGATTCCGATTTCCCTACCCCGGCTGCGGGGGAGGAAGGGGTGCACAGCGCGTGCACGTCCTCCGCCCAGGCGCTTCCTACTTTTCCTCAGCGTTGCTCTGTGGTAGTTTAGAGTTAGACCAGGGTTTAAATCTTGCTGTCTCACTGCCTAGCTGGGTAGCCAGGGGTAAGTCATTTAACATCTCTGAGCCTTAGTTTTCACTTCTGTAATCTGGGGCTAATAGTTTTTCCTCCCTAAAGCCAACGTGCGCTTAGAATCCAGTGTCCAGCACCCAGTAAGTTTACAGCAGTATTTGTTGAATGTGTGGGTAGTTGGACAGATGAACAAGCCCTCCTCGCCGCCCCCATAACCACTTCCCTGTGCCCAACCCCTCAGGCCTTCCAAGCAGCCATTGACCAAATCGAGAAGCGGAATGAAACCTTCAAGGCTGCAGTCCAGAGCCCTGGGGGAGACCCTCAGGAGCAGGAGGTACTTGAAGGCTCTGCATCCTTTCCGGAGCCACCAGCCTCACAGGAAATGATTCCCTCTCTTTGCTCTATCCAGGCCAGCTTTGAGGGCTGGCCAGCGTTACCCACCAGAGGAAGCCCACGCATCCTAACATTGCCGTACTCAGAAACTCAGTGCCAGAGGCCCACGTTAGCAAAAAATTTCTTTGGGAGACTCTATGTGCTATATGCCTAGGAAAGATTTTACTCTATGTATAATTCTGGCTGGTGGGGGGTGGAGGGGTGCGCGCACGCAGATTTGGGTTTTGAAAGTGCCTGAAAAATGTGAGACTAAGGGAAGGTGGAAGGAAGGTGGGGTGTTAGCGGGGTAGTGCCTATGACTTGATTTGAGATCTGAGCTGTGGGTTGCTGGGTGTTCTTGCTAAGTCCCTTGACCTCACTGGGCTTTAGTTTCCTCACTTGTAGAATAGGAAAAATAGTAACTGACCTAAAATATGGTCTTTATCAGTTCAGTCCACTTCATGTGGGAGCCACTGGGAAGCACAGCACACGTAATCCCTGCCTCAAGCAGGTGGGCAGAGGGCTCAGGGCCTCAGGGAGTGGGCTGAAGAGGGACGTGAAGTGCCCGCCCTGCTGCTCCACAGCTGCAGTCCGAGGAGCTAGGCCTCCGAGCGCCACAGTGGGTCCGGGACAAGATGGTGACCATGTGCATGCGCTGCCGAGAGCCCTTCAACGCCCTGAAGCGCCGTCGCCACCACTGCCGGGCCTGCGGCTATGTGAGTACTCAAGCCGCACTGCACCCCGCCCCACCTCGGCCTCCGCCTCCCACTCCCTGCCATCTCTGCCCACTTGACCTATGGGCGCTAACTCTGGGCAGGACACGTGAGTTCTCTTGTTTGGACCTCACAAGTGCCTACCTGGGAAGTGAGCCTGCTCTTAGCCCGCGCAGGTGGAACAGGAGGCTCACACAGGTTAAGCTACTCGCTCAAGACACTCGCCAAAGCTGACCCTACTAATTGGTCTGCGTCCCAAGACCCCCAGGGCCCAGGAACAAGAAATGGTCTCCAGTTCCAGGATGGGGGCATCCAAACCCATCAGCCCTTCTCGAGCCTTGCACCCACCACCTCATCAGCCCCATGCCTGACACAAGCCTTCCCCTTGCTGTTCTCTCTTCTTTTTTTTTTTTTTTCTGCCATCCTCTCTTCTTGACTGACCTCAGCTGACGGTCCCCTCTTCTTGGCAAGCCCTCAGCACTCCAGCATCTGGTCGGTTCTGCTGCTACCTCTCTCCTCCATGTTCAAGCCTCCATTTCCTCAGCTATACAATGGGGATTATTAATATGTACCTCCAGGATGGTAGTGAGGAATCAACAAGAGAAGGTTCACCCCCTTCCCTCTCCTTGTCTTTCTTTCCTTCCCCCTCCTCAGTTGCTCAGGCAGCCTCATTCAGAGGAAGAGCTACCAGCTGACTGAGGAAGAAACCACGCCCATGCCTCCCTCTTATCAGCTCAGGCCCAGTTATCAGAGGCAGACCTTGCTTTGCTTTTTAAGCACCTGCTGTATTTGAGCTGTTCTCTGTTGACCCCTCCATTTACTCTGCAAACAGAGAAGCCCTTTATGACCTCAGTCTTTAATGATCTTGGGACAGTAGGAGACCAGCTAGGCAGGTTGGGGCTAGTCAGGGAGGTGTCCCCAAAGTGTGTTATACTGTAATCAGGACACAAAGTAAATTTCTAAGACTGGGACACACCTATGTTCAGATGTAAGTTCCATCCCAGAGCCAAATAGAAAGGATCCAGGGATTAGCTACCATTTTTGATGAGTCACATCTGTAAATAAGAGTTGAGTCGATTCACACTTGCAACTTTGTAAGTATTCCTAAAAAATTATTTTAAATAGTTAAGAAATGCAAAGAACAATATAGCAACACCCTCATACTGCCTCCTAGATACAGGAAAGAAATGAAATATTTTGAGAACTAAATGAAATGTATGACCCTTGATCAGGTCCTGCATGGGAAAAACAGAAGTCATTATTGGGCCCATTGGGGCAAATTTGATTATGAGGAATATATAGATAATAATATTGTATTGTGTTAAATTTCCCCGGTGTGGTCATGACATTGCAGATATGCAGAAAAATGCCTTTGTTTTTTTGGAGACACCAGCTACATATTTAAGGGTGAAGTGTCATGATGACTGTAATTTATACTTTGGTTCAGAAAAATAACACACATGTATACATACACACATAAGGAAATCAAATGTGGCAAAAATGTTCACAATTGGTGGATTTCAGGGGGTATCATTGTATCATCATTTCAACTTCAAGTTTTAAATTTTTCAAAATAAAAAGTTGGTAGAGGAGATAATAAATACACACTAATAATACTTTAAAAATTTAAATCTCCATTAAAAAAAAATACTCCCAAGGTTGTTGAAGCCCCATGTACGGGTTGTGTGAGGCATCCTTGGCCTGATTCTGGGGTTTCTCGTGCCCGTGCGAACCTTTGTACTCTGTGAGTCATCCTTTCGGTGGTTGGGTGCCCAGTTTCTGCCAAGCCGCCTGCCAGACGGGAATCCTAGTGAAGGTGGGGCAAGCCCAGGCCTTGTCCTGCGGGTCCCTCCCAGGCCATGTGCTGTGCTGGGCACACAGGCGAGCTCCCTAATGAGTAACTTTTCCTCCTCGTCTCTATTTCCTGCTCCCCATTTCCATTCCCACATCCCAGACACACTGTGACACCCCAGTCTTCCTGGAAGTCACATCCTGCAGCACCTGTGTTTCTCCCCGAGTCTTCTCATGCCTCTCACTTGGTCACCTCCATATGATCCACAACGGCCTTCTTGGGGGCTTCTCCATGGTGGGCTGGCGAGTGGGCCTCACTCTACAGACTACACATGGCAAGTCTCGCTGTCAAAAACAACCAGCCCATCATTTTTGCATCAGAACACGCTCAACTCTAGGAGTGAGTGGACTGTAAAATCTGCATGAATCTTAATGCTAAACTGTGGAACTTTAAAGACATGTTCTGTCTAGGGAGGGCCAATTGCTGCCAGTGAGCTTTGTGGCCCTCAGCAAGTCACTGCCCCCTCACTGTTAGGTAAGGGTAATAGCCCCAGCACTGGTCGCCTAGTGGAGTCGCTGTGATTCAGGTGAGGTGGCAGAGGGGAGAGCCAGCACCCAGAGAAGTGCTCAGATGTGAGGGCTGTGCTCAGGGCAAGCCCCCGGGATCAATAGCTGTCCTCCCAAAGGTGTTCTAAAGGGAAGAGAAGCTGAAACCCCTGCTGTGGGGGCCAGATCTCTAGCCTCCAGCTGGGGGATCCCAGAATCTGAGCTCTCCCCATGTACTGCAGCCTCCAGGCAGCTGGGCCTCTGCCTCTGTCCCTCTTCTGAAGCTTGCTTTTTCTTCCTCTGGTCCCTGGTTGCTCTGCCGCCCCACCTCACAAACAGGAAACTCTTTGCCTCACTTCAGCCCTCAACCCCTCCTGCCCATCCTCCCACAGGTGGTGTGTGCCAGGTGCTCCGACTACCGGGCTGAGCTCAAATACGACAGCAACAGGCCCAACCGAGTCTGCTTGGACTGCTATACCTTCCTCACTGGAAACGTGCTCCCTGAGGACAAGGAAGACAAGAGACGGGGCATCCTGGAGGTGAGGGCCATTCCTCTGCCCAGCAAATGTGTGCGGGGCCCCACCACATGCTGGCATTGTCCTCAGTGCTGAGAATAAGCCTGCTGAGGTCACACTCCCCTTCCTTCTCTCTCTGCCCACAAACATCCTCTCTGATCCCACTCCTTCAGTAAAATAGAACTGGGCCTGTCACTAAATGGTAGCAACTTTTGGCTCCAGGCTTTCATCTAAGTTCTCCACCTCTCCTTTCTGTCCCCATCCAATAATTGCACAGCCTCTCTGGACTGTTCCTGTTCATGTCCCCGTGCCCTGCCCCAACAGCCCTAGGAGGGAAAGAGAGCTGATGTTCCATTATACAGATGGGGAAACTGAGGCTCCAGGTAAGGGTCCCTCTGCTTGAAAGAGGCAGACTGGAGACTCCATTCTAACTGGAATGGACTTCAGGGACCAGCTGGTTCTATCCCATGGAGACCCAGGCCCAGAGAAGCAACTCTCCCAAGGTCACGCAGCGAATTAGGAGCCAGCTCTCTGATCTCTGCCACAGATGTTCTCCTGCTGCCCTTGGGGCTGAGTCACTCCCCACCTCCACAGTCTCTCAGGCTGCTCCTGCTGCTGGTGGTGCTTCTAGGCATTAGCTGTGTTCAGCTTTGTGCTGCAGATACAATGTTACCTAGCCCAGGGACTGGTTACCACTGCCTCTGTGCCCCTCACTCATTAAAGGCCAGGTTGATCCCATTGTCCCTGGGGGTGGGAGAAGACCCCACGCTATTCCAGCTGAACTCAGCTCCCAGGTTCAAGTTGATTCCTTTGCACCAACATCTGCCTGCTTTCCAATCCTCCCCATTCTTCTAGGTTCAGCCCCTGTCCATGTCCTCCCTGACTACTAGTCCACACAGCTTGCTCCTGGAAAGAGGGGATGGTCTGCCCTTTCTCAAGCTCCAGTTCTTCTCCCTGGGGCAACTCACAGGTGATAAGCCCTCCTAGCACGTGCCTCGAGTTCAGGCTGGCTGGGGTTTGACCGCCGCTCTGCCACTGGCCAGCTGTGTGACTTCAAGTCCACGATGGGATATTTCTGAACCTTGGGAACAAATAACCCCTCCTTGCAGGCTTGCTATTAGGATTAGAAATAATGATTTTTGAGCCCCCAGCCCAACATCTGTCACATAGTGGGTGATGTGTTCCCTGACAGTCCCTTTTTCTGGTTTTAGAAAGGATCTGCGGCAGGGTCCGAGCAGAGCCTAATGTGCAGCTTCCTGCAGCTCGTCGGGGACAAGTGGGGCAAGAGCGGGCCCCGGGGCTGGTGTGTGATCCCCCGGGACGACCCCCTTGTACTCTATGTCTATGCTGCCCCTCAGGTAATGCCACTACCCACCACCTCCAGACCTTGGCCCTCTCACAGTACCTGGGTGCATTGAGGGTGGGATGAGGGTGTAACTGTTGGCCCCATATACAAGATGAGGAAACTGAGGCCCAGGGGATACCTGGTTCCCTCGAGTCACAGGGTTAGTGGCTTTCAGAACTGGACCCAGACTCCAGAGAACAGTTCTCTTCCTTGATGCCCTCCCGCCAGCCCACCCTACTTCATGGGTGTCTGGGAGTGAGAGGCAGGTGTGTGGCTAGTATCTTCCCATCAGCCGTCTGAGGCAGTGTGGCACCAAATGGGAGGGCAGTGGCCCATGGCTCTCTCCTCCCCTCCCAGGACATGCGGGCTCACACCTCCATCCCCCTGCTGGGCTACCAGGTGACCACAGGATCCCAGGCAGACCCCAGGGTCTTCCAGCTGCAACAGTCAGGCCAGCTCTACACCTTCAAGGCTGAAACCGAGGAGCTAAGGGGCCGCTGGGTGAAAGCCATGGAGCGGGCAGCCAGTGGCTGGAGCCCCAGGGGGCCCAACGACGGGGACCTGTCTGACTGAACCACAGCTGGCCACTGTCCCCCTCAGAGCCCAGCTCTTGCCATGGGGTGACTCTGCAGCTGACCCACCACTCCAAGCTGAGCTTTCAAATAATCGATTTCTAGTTGTCTGTGCTCACACTGTGTGTCCTGATTTGGGAATCAGAAAACCTGGGTCCATTCCTTTGGGGAAGGGGTAATGAAGTATCCTAGTTTGCCCAGGGCTGAGGGGCTTCCTGGGACATGGGACTTTCAGTGCTAGAACTGAGAAAGTCCCATGTAACCCAGGACTGGTGGTCACCAGCGTGGTTCTCAGCTTGGGCTGCGCATTTGTATCACCTGGGGAGCTTTAAAAAATACCAATGAAAAGATAAATACAAAAATAAGCTAAAAATTAAAAAAAAAACAATGCCTGTGTCTATCACCGAAGATTTCTGATTTGACTGTTCTGGGACAGAGAGGCATGGATATGTTTTAGGGATACCCACGAGTCTGATGTGCAGCCTGGATTCCCTAGATGAAGCAGAAAGCAGGCAAACTACCAAGTGCCAAGCACGAGAGTAGTAACAGTAATAATAAATATCAAACATTTACTGGGGCATGCACTATTCTAGATGTTTTATGGGGACTATCTTGTTTTACCCTGAGAACTTGTAATCCCCATTTTCCAAATGAGGACACTGAGTTTTCGAGAGGTTTAGTCATTGGCTCAAGGTTACATAGCTGGTGGATGCCAGAGTGAGGTTTTAACCTGGTGCACTAAGATCAAAGCTCTGTTTATCAGGTACCAGAGCAATAGGCCAAGCAGAAAAGGAGGCGAAAGAGTGAAGAAAAGGGGGGAAGACAAGAGGGAAAAGGTGGGGGCAGGAGAGTAGGGCAGGAGCACCTCTGGCCCTTTGGCTGGTGAACGAGGCTGCTTTTTCATAGGAGACCACTAGGGGGTGACAGTGACCAGCAGGCCACATGCAGGGGCCCCAGCCTGGGCTGTGACACCCTAACCTGCTTCCATCAGGCTCAGCTGCTGCTGGGCTCTGCCCTTGAAAAAGAAACAGACAATTCATAGATCTTTGCCCTTTTCCAGACTCACACTGTTTGCTCTCCCACCCCTAACCTGAGGCCACCTCCCTTCTGTAGGGTATTTTAAAAAGCTTAAGAAAACCTAGTTGGCACAGTCTGTCTGGGGACCAGGCTGGCCTGGCCGTAAGTTCATCCCTTCGTTCAGCAGGTATTTGTTAAGCACCTTCTGTGAGTCAAGTGCACGTCCTGTGCTGGGGACAGAGCCATTACGGAGACAGACAAATTTCTGCCTTTGTGGAGTTTATAGTCTTTTTCTTTTTTTTTAATGGAGGTACTGGAAATTGAACCCAGGACCTCATGCATGCTAAGCACACACTGTACCACTGAGCTATTCCCTCCATGGTAGAGTTTATATTCTTATTCAACAAAATAAGTACATAAAATGTAGAGCATATCAGATGTCATAAGTGCTTTAATAGAGTGACAAATCAAACCCCTTAGTTCCAGGCAAACCAGAATGGTTGGTCACTCCAGCAAAAGAAAAGCAAGAAAGGGAGCAGAGGGGGAAAGAAGGGTGTGTGTGTGTGTGTGTCAGTTTTTAAAGGAAAATCAAGGAAGACCTCACCAAGAAGTCAGTGTTTGAAAAACAACCTCAAGGAAAGAAGGAAGGGAGGAAAACACAGTTATCTAGTTGAAGAGCATTCCAGTTGGTGGGAACAGCAAGTGCAAAGGTCCTGAGGTGGGAGCTTGCCTCTGTGCATGCAAAGGACAGTGAGGAGGTCAGTGCGGCTGGAGCAGAGTGGGCAGGAAGGTCAGAAGGGAAGACATCAAATCATCAGTAAACTAAGGGCAGGGGTTGGGGGAGGCAGGCTGAATGAGATAGGGAGTCACTGGGGGTCTGATTTGTTTTAGCAGACCCTATTCTTGTGCTTATTGAAATAGACTAAAAGCTATGAGGGTAGAAGCAGTTTAGAGGCTGTCACAACAATCCAAGTGAGAGGGGAGGTGGCTTACATCAGGGCTGGTGGGGAGGGATTGGATTCTGGATTTACTTTGAAGGTAAAGTGGAAGAGACTCCCTTACACAGTGAACATGGCAGGAGAAAAGGAGGGATCGAAAGGTGACTCTAAGGCCTCCGACCTGAGAACGTGGGGGATGGAGCTGCCACTAACTGAGATGAAGAGACTGTGGAAGGAGCAGACTGGGGAGCAGCAATCTGCCAGGGGCTCTGTCATAGACAGGTTAGAGCTGAGGTGCCCACTCAAGGTCGTGGCCAGTGGGTAGGTATCTGAGCTCAGGCACCAGGTCTGGGCTGGGGGTGTAAATGTGGGAGCTGTCTTCCAGACGTGGGGTTTAAAGTGCATGTGAAACAGGAAAAAGAAGGGGTCCAAGGACTGAGCCCCTTGCACCCTAACATTTTAATCGTGCACACGCCAAAATTCTAAGCATTGGCACCCTGACATTCTAACTGCACACACCCCACCATTCTAACCCTTTTGACCTGCAGTTATAATTCTGAGAATTTACCCCGAGGAGACAGATCAGTGTGACAAGACTCATGCACATTGTTTACAATAGTCCCCCAAATTGGACACTAGTCCTACAAATTGTAAACATCCATCCAAAGGAGACTCAGCAAATAAACTGGTGCCCCTCAAGAGGGAACTCATGGCAACCTGCTGCACACACAAAGTGGAGAGCTGTGCGGCTGTTCAACGGAAAGGCTTAGGTCTTAGTGTGCTGACCTGGGAAGATGCCTGTGAGGTGTTAAGTGAGCAATGCCTACAGAAGGAGCTAACTTTTTTTTTCTCTACTGTTATTAAAATATTTTTATTGTGAAATTTGCCATACACACAGAAAAGGGAGACATACACACAAAATTAAGGATTATAATATGATAAAGCAAAATAATAAACCATCAGCTGTGTTACAACACAGAACATTAACAATATCTTAGAGCATTTCTGCATGCCACCCCCAGATCTTATCCCCTTCGTGCCTTCCTCTCAATTTTTATGGTAAGGGGTCCTGTGGTTTTCTTTGTGTTTTTCTACATGTATTTGTATCCTTACACAATATATTCTTTAGCTTTACCTTTCTTTAAATTTTGTATCAGTGGAAATATTCTATATGTATTGTTTTATTTTCATTCCGTTCCATTGGTCTTTTATTTTCCCAAAAGAAGAATTTGTTGTCTAATATTCTTTTATAATAGCCTTGATATCTGGGAGGGCACATCTCCCAGTGTTTATTTTCGTCAACATTCTCTTGACTATCCTTGTCCATTTTCTCTTTCATTTGAATTTAAAGATAAATGTAAAGTTTCATAAAAAGTCCTGTTGGTATCATAGTTACATTGACTTTATAGATTACTTTTGGCAGATGTGACATATTTATGACATAAAGTGTTCTAATTTATGTCCATGATATGTCTTCTCATTTATTTCAGTCTTGTTTTATATCCTTTGATGATATTTAGTTCTGTTCTCTTTTGTCTTTTTTAGGTTTATTTCTAAGGACCTCATTCTTATTGTAAATAGGAACTTAAACATTTATATTTTATAATAGGATATTTGGTGATGAACATACTGTTGATTTTTATTTGTTTATTTGTGTATAGTTATCTGTTGCTGCTACAAAAAGGTATCACAAATGTAGTATTTTTAAAACAGCATACATTTCTTGTTGTACAGCTTCAAAGGTCACACTGGGCTAAAATGAAGATGTCAGTAGGGTTGTGTTCCTTTCTGGAGGCTCTAGGGAGAATCTGTTTCCTTGCCTTTTCCCACTGTCTGGAGGCCATTTCCTTGGTTCATGGTCTTCTTTCATCTTCAAATGGAAGCAACATTGCTCCTCCCTGACCTTCCTTTCATTGTCACATCTTCCCTTTAAAGGACCATGGAGTTGGATTGGACCCACCTTGGATAATCCAGGGCAATGGCTCCAGTTCCAGGCCCTTGACCTTAATCACATCTGCAAAGTCCATTTTGCCATGCGAGGTAGCACATTCACAGATTTGGGGAATTAGGAGGTGGAAGGAGCTAGCATTTTTAAATACTGTGTGTCAAGCACTGAATTTAGGCCTTGGTGGAGATTATTGCATTTAATTCTTGATAACATTAGAAGTAGACACTATATCCAAATCCTCATCTTACAGATGAGGAAACTGAGGCGTTAATGGTGAAGGACCTTGCCTGTGGTCACATAACATGGGGTAGAAGGGGCAGCATTTCAAACCACTGGGCTGTAGAATGTTTGTTCCTGCTTGGATGAAGATATTTTAGATCTGCACCATTTAGAGGGGTACAGAACACACTTTACATGTGGCTGTTTTTCTTTCTTCTTTAGCTGCTTCTGTGGTATTTGAATTTTTTTGTCCATATGATGTATTCTATAATCACAACACCAAAAGTACCTTTCCCGTGTTAAGGGAAAAATAAAGGAA